TTTTGTGAAGCATTTCTGGTTGAATTTTACCTTAAATTGAAGCTTATATTATGTATAATATCATACCTAACATATATATGTTTGGAAATTGATAACTTTGTGATTAAAAGTGATATTTTTAAGCGATTTCTCATTTGTAAGAATATTCTTACAAAATTATCGTGTTACCACGACAACTACTTTAGATACTTCATGTTCGGAAAATACAATGGTTTTGTCAGCAAGGTGAGGGTTTCTGCATGCATGTATTTTCTAGTTGTAGTATTTATCTCACCAAAAAACTTAACCATTTGGCTTCTAGAGATACTTAAGGTGGCGACACCAATTTTGCAACCCTCCAAATTACAGAAATTAGGTTAAAAATAATGCAAACTTTGTAGGATTTCTAAAATTTCTACCCACCTTTCTGCTCAAAAACAAAATGTTTTTTATCTCTATTATTAATAAAACTTTTGTTTCTTGTAGAAATTAATAAAAAAAGATGAAAAAATCCCTGGCAAATTGACAAAGGCAAAGCTAAGGTTGGGAAAATGCCTTAAATTTACTGTTTTCCGTTTCGTTGGGGTTTCAGCACTAGTCTTTCCCCTTTTCTGGAGATTGCTTCATTATTTTTACAGAAAATTAATTCATGATTTAATTTTTAAGAAAAGATATGTAGCCATTTACCATTAAAATATTTTATTATGTTCTGTAATATGTTTAAACCTAATATCCACAATTTGGACAAGTGGCAATATTGGTGTCGCCACCTTAAGTAACTCTAGAAGGCGAACGGTTAAATATGTTGGTGTGAAAAAATGCAACATTTAAGGTGGTCTTACACAATGCAAAGTTGTGTTTTGAGTGAAATTTCCCATTTTTCAAAAATGGAAAAAATACAAACTTTAAAACCCTACTTAATCATATTTGTATCATTTTGTTGCTCAAAAATTCTAAAAAACTTGAAAATTTAGAAAATTCCATAAATTTACACTTAGCAACGCCCATAGCAACCAGATGTTTGCCTGTTTAAAAGCGTTCAAAAGTTTGAATAATTTATATTTAGATCAGTTTTTACCCCTCCCTTTCAAGTATACTGTATTGAAGTATTCACATGTTAACATAGCTACCACTGGCCAGTCTATTTATGATTTTTCAAATCAAAATTCGAAGCCATATTTGTGTCGAAACTTAACCAAGTAACTTTTGGTCGTTGTATTTGTGTTTTTTCGCCAAATTTACTTCTCTTTGTGGACTAATTGTCTTTGAAAAATGGTAAGGGAAGGATCGAGGAAGAGAAAGAGAAAATTTTATGAGAAGCAGCACATAAATGATGCAAAGAAACCATGTGTTTCTAGTGAGTCGGTTGCTAATCTCTCTGCTTCAGCAAGAAAAATAGGTCAGTCTTGTAGCTTTGATTCTACCAGTAGCAGTTCCAAAGATGAACAACCTAAAATAACTGGTTATCATTTCATCGATGTGGAAATACTAAATGAACTTTTCCAGGAAATGGCATGCAAGTTATGTGGAGAATCCAATCTCAGTCCTAGGGAAAGAAAAAGTTGTGCTTCTCATCTTCACCTGCGTTGTGATAAATATGGTTGGGTATATACCTTCTTTTACATAAAAAAGTCAAACATTTTTTTTATGTAAACAGAAGACTTGTTTATGCAATGAGAAGCATTGGACAACGAGAAGCTTCTGCAAGTTGTTTCTGTTCCCTGATGAATATTCCCCCACTGCTGAAACCTGCTTATTCAGCTTGTAATGCCTTGTCAAAAGCAGCCAAGACTGTGGCCACTGATGTGATGAGGGATGCTGGTAAGGAGTTACATCATGACAGTGATGTGAAGTTGTCCAGTGCGGTGTTTCCTGTGATGGAACTTGGCAAAGCCCGGGATATTCGTCATTAAATGGCTGTTACTACCATTTCAATGGAAACGGGTAAATGCCTTGATGTCGAGATTTTGTGTAAGTTACGTCATACCTGCCAAAGTATTGATAAAGAGACAGATGATGAAAAAAAGGCATTGCGCAAAGCTGACCATGCAGGAAAATGCAAGGCAAACTATTCAGGTTCAGTATCGTCAATGGAGACAGAGGGGGTGAAGCGAATCTTAGAACGTAGTGAAGTGACCCACAAATTGCAATATACAGAGTATTTTGGCGATGGTGATAGCAAAGCTTCAAATCAATGAAGACACCCACTAGAAAAATTATCAATTAGTTCTAATACAGCCATAAAAGTAGAGTGATTCTTCCGAAAACCAAACTGGTTATCACATAGAATATTGAATTTAGTTAGGTAGTTTAAAAGTCTTGAGTAAAAAATCTTTTGAACTTTGGAAAAAAATTGTAGAATGGATATAGGGCGATAGTTAGAAAACTTACTGTTATCATCATTTTTGAAGATAGGTATAACTTTGGCTATTTTTAATTGATCTGGTGCCCTTCCCACTTCTATTGATTGATTGCATATATGAGTGAGAATCGGTGTAAGTGGCTCAGCAGCCAATTTACACACAAGCGGATCTATGTTATCTGGACCTGGAGACTTATTAGGATTAGGATTCATCAATATGTTGAAAATTTCAGTATCATAGGTCGGATAAAAAACAAATGAATTTGGGTAAGATCCCTTTAGAAAATTTGAAAAATTAGTGTGAGTAGCAGGGATTTTCGAAGCAAAGTTAGAACCCACATTAACAAAGTAATCATTGAAATTATTAGCAATTGATTCATTGTTTGATATATGAATATTATTATGTACAAAAGAATCTGGGTAATTATGTTTGGTTTTACTTTTGTTTAGCAACTCCTTCAAGGTTTTCCATGTTTCTTTAATGCGGTAGTCATTTGAAATCACGGGCCCCCCACCCCCGGGAAATAGCGGGGAATTTAACACGACCAAGTGTTAAAAAACATTAAATCCCCCGCCCCTGGGGCAAACTAGTCTGTTAAAACCCCCGTACAGCCGGGCTTTAGTATACCTAAACAAGACAAATTCCGCATCATGCATGCATTTGAATTACCTGTCTTCCGCAACTTCCAGATTGAATTTCCGTCAAGTATTGTATTGACAATGTCTGGGGTGATGCATATCAAAATATCGATATGAAAATGTAAATAAATATGCAAATATAAAATGTAAACAATGCCAATTATATCCAAACAATGGAAAAGGCGATGCCTGACACTTATTGAATATTAACAGCAGCGGATGGCTGAGGATTAAGTATAAAATATAAAGTTTCAAACGCACGTACCTGTCACAGAGTAGAGACATACAGAGACGTAACTAGTGTACCCACTTTTTTTGTGCGCACGCTCGGCAAGTTACTAGATGCATGCATCTGATTGGATGACGACCTGATGACGACTCACTTTAAACTTGCTGAGCACGCGCAGTTGTTGATCATTTTTCGTCCGGTGGCCGGAAAAAAAGTGGGTACATGATAACGTAATCTTCCGCAGTGTTTACAACGGTCAGTTCCGTCTCTGTATGTCTTATCTACTCTGTACCTGTCGAGTAAGTTTTTCGCCAGTCGCCATTTTCGTTTTTACGACCCTATGCGTCATTTTAAGTCCCCAGTTATCCCCGGTGTATTTACATATAGCGGCTGTTAAATCCCGGGTCAATTCCCCGGTTATAAAAAAGTTGTTAATTCCACCACCCTCCGGGGCATGGCACGTTGTTAAATAGCGTTAAATCCCCGCTAAATTTTGTTAATTCCCCGCTATGTCCCGGGGGTGGGGGGGCCATGATTTCAAATGACTGAAGCATAATACTGTCTTTTACATAATTGAGCTTATTTGTGTAGAATTGTTTCTTGGTCACCTTAAGTAAGTGATTCAATTTATTGTGAAATGTTTTGTATTTGGTTTCTGCATCTGTTGACCTATTGTGCAAAAATTTTTTGTAAAATTTATTTTTAACTCTAATAGATTTGATCAGGCCCTGTGTTAACCAAGGTTTCCTTGCTTGGTGTTTATGACTCTTAACTTTAACTATTGGAACATGTTGATTGTATAGAGTATTTAGGTTATATTGGAACAAAGCAAACGCGAAGTATAGGTATTGAGAAGTATAAGTATTGCCCCGCTCATTAGTCCATAGTTTATAAAAGGGTAAATTAAGGTATAGTAGAGTTGCTTAAGCATATTTAAATCAAGGTAATATCTCAACTTGTTTATGATGCCAGTATTTTTGGAAATTTTGGCCTTCACATGTTTGATTTGTTGTTTCCAAGTGATGTGTTTGTCGATGTACATACCTAAGTATTTTATGTATTGTATTTGTTCTATGTTTCCAATTTGGATTTTACTGATCTTTTTCTGTTTCGAGCCAATAATCATAAAGTTCGTTTTTTTAAAGTTTATTGATAGTTTGTTTGCAGCGCAATAGTTATGGATTTTTTAAATTTCCTCATTCATTACTATTTCAATTTTACCAACTGATTTACCTGAGTAAAAAACATTTGTGTCATCAGCAAATATTCAGAAGGATAGCTTTTTTGAACAGTTAGGCATATCATTTATATACAGCAAAAACAATAACAGTCCAAGTGTTGATCCTTGTAGAACTCCACAAGTCATTCTTAACATTTCAGAGTCTGTGTTATCTATCCTAACGTATTGTTGGCGATTAGTTATAACTTGTAAACCATTGGAGTGGAACACCTCGTATTACATATTTTTGCAACTTTTCTAAAAGGATTTTGTGATTAACAGTATCAAAAGCTTTTGAAAAATCTAAAAATAGACCGCACGTTAGTTGTTTATTATCTATCGCAGATTTTAGTTTATCAGTAAGTTCGAGAATTGCTTGCTCTGTTGAATGCTTTTTCCTGAATCCAAATTGATAATTGTACATTATATTGTACTTTTCAAGAAAATTATCCAATTGGTTATATGCTAATCATTCTAAGACGTTTGAAAAAACAGATAGTATAGATATTGGTGGATAGTTGTGTGGCTCATTTGTGTCACCACTTTTATAGATAGGCGTAACGCCTGTGGAAATGGATTCATTGAAAATATTGGTAAAAATTGACAAAAGTTCATATGCTGCTATTTTTATCATATTATTAGGTATATCAATAGATACTTTATTACTATCTAGGCCTAAGAAAAGATTGAGTACTTGAGTCTCTGTAATTGGGGACATAAAAAACTAGGTACTGCTGCATTACTAATGTAACTTATTGGTTGAAGGTTAGAAGTCATGATTGAATTTGCAAGATTTGGGCCTACATTAACAAAATATTGATTGAGCTGATTGACAATATCTTGTTTAGCTGTATATATCTTATTATTGATTGTAATTTTTGTGGGATGTATTTGTCCTTTTGTTTTACGTTTAATAATTGACCCAATTAGTTTCCAAGTAGCTTTCAAATTATTTTTACACTTTGCAAATTGTGTGTTATAGTAACCTGAGTATCAGGCCCTCCTCGAGTTTGGGCATATGTAGGAAGAGGGCCTGACACGAATCACGGATTTTCTCATGTTCAACATCCAGAATCTGGATGTTACGTTGATTGGCCAAAAGACAATAGAGCTCATCACGTGATTCACACAGGAAGTCAAGCGGCAAACGCAGGAAGTAGATGCCGTGTTGAATTTCACGTAGGCATTTTAATATCTATCTCTCCTCTGTGGTTTTATGAAATTTATTTTAAAGTTGCTGTAAAATTAGTAAAAATATGAACGATATGGAGTTTGAAAATTCTCTTGCAGAATCTATGAAGTTTTTTCCCGGTTTAAAGCTAAAACACGAACAAAAAATGTGTCTAAAAAGCATCGCTGTAGAACGCAATGATGTATTGGGAATTTTACCTACTGGATTCGGCAAAAGCCTCATTTATCAGTTATTACCGAAGGTGTTTGCCAGCTACTGGTTTGCCAAAACTGGCGAGAGGAAGACGTGCAACGTTATTGTAGTCAGCCCGCTTGAACTAATCCGTAAACAACAAGCCGAAAGGCTGAAATTAAGGGGGATATCTGCTGCAACGCTCGAAGAACTCGACAGTTCTGACAACCACGAGGACAAAGAGATCCTGTTTGGAAGTGCCGAATGTTGGCTCTCAGATTCTTGGAGAAAGCAGCTGACATCTGGTTCCCTAAGTGGTGCCGAATTTCTAGTTGTTGACGAAGTCCACAACATAGATACCTGGTAAGAGACATTTCTCACTTTTTATCCTGTCTAATTAGCTAAATATATAAATAATACATTTACTGTGCTAAATAATCCTTTGATAGATTGTAAATGGGTTTCACTACAGTATAAGTCTTTATATGAGATATGGTTGTCAGCTTTAACATTATATGGATACTTATATATAAATATAATTTTACAATTACTGTAAAGTTATAAACCAGCAAGGGCCAGTTGTTCAAAGCTGGTTAATTTAACCATTAATTAACTTAAATTATTCAAAGGAAATTTCCCAACAGCTTGTTTATATATTTTGAAATTGTTCTTCAGAAATCTTGTCTGTATCGGTAGGAGTTTTCTTCCCTGAAATTTGGAAATAAACATACGTGCAGAAATATATATTAAACTAAAACAGGGGCCGGTTGTTCAAAGGTGGTCCTGGGTTAATTAAAATTTAACCTGCTATCTAATTTAATTAGTTTATGTATTTCTGCACATCTGTTTATTTCAAAACTTCATAGAAGAAAAGTCCTATCAATCCAGACAAGATTTTATTAAGAAATATTTCAAAATATATAAAAAAGCTGAGTGGCTTAAGTTAACTGACCTTTGAACAACCGGCCCCAGTAGGTTAGATTTTAACCCAGGGTTACTGTTAATCCTGCTTCGAACTACTGGCCCCAAGTGCTGAAGACCACTTATACTTAGTGAAACTAACCCATACATGATTGTTGTTATAGTGTATAGTGTTCATTTTTATTTGTTATTATTAGTTAATTAATTAATGTTTTTTTGCAGGGGAACAGGCAAGAAAAGCTGCATTCCGCCAAGCTTTTGGTAATGTGAAGGACTTGAGATCATTTGTAGGAAGTAAACCTATGCTTGCCCTTTCTGCTACTGCTGACAAGTCAATGCGACAACAACTATGCAAACTTCTCGGTTTCAAAGGCCACAAGGAACTTGTTATTAGTCCAAATAAGGAAAATATCCGTTTCTCTGTTATGGAATGTGACAAGACGTTTAACTGTTTCAATTGGTTGGTGGACATGCTCAAAGAAAAGAAAGCGGATGCTCCACATACTATTATATTTTGTCACACGGTCAATGATATTGTACTTGTTTTGAGCACTCTGTTCATGAAGCTTGGCAATGATGCTTATTTGGAAGGGACAGATCCAGTGTCTGATCGTTGCATTCTTGCTGTTTACTATTCGGCAACACCAGACTCTGAAAAAAATAGTCACCAACTTGTTTACTGTGAGTGGTAAAGCAAGAGTTGTTATTGCTTCTACGTCACTCAGCATGGGAGTTGATTTCCCCCACGTGAAATATGTAATACATTTCGGTCCAGGAAGAACGCTAACAGACCATTTACAGCAGGCAGGAAGGGCTGGAAGGGACTCTCAGAATGCATATAACATAATTATGTACATGGGAAAACATCTTCGGCAATGTGATGACACAGTTAAAAGTGTTGTAAAGAAGCAGGAGTGCATTAGAAAACTCCTTCTCTGTCATTTTACTGATGATGATCCAACTGTGGCACCAATGCATAACTGCTGTAACAGATGTCACAACCTTTGCAAATGTGGTGGAGACAAGTGTGGAAATGATCCTTTTCCATTTGACAAATTACCACCTAGGGCTGAAGAAGATGAAAAACGACGAGTAGTTACTGAGGATGATAAAAACTGCATCTATGATGCACTTATGGAAATCAAGCAGACTTATGTCTCGGATTTTCTGATAGCATTATTCAATCCATTGTGGAAAATTCGCACAAAATATTTAGTGTAACTGATCTTATGGAATATTGTTTTATTTCATCTTTACAATTGGCTGTTATGATCCTTGACGTTTTTAATGAACTATTTGAGGATATTACCCCTGATAATAGCCTCTGCAATTTAGCAGTGGAAATGGAACCTATGTACAATGCACTGATGGACAATGTAACAGATTATGATCTGGATCAGTTGTCAGATAGTGGTGATTAGACTATGCACATTTATGGTATTATATACAAATTTACATTACTTATTTAGCTAAATAATGGGCAATTCCAGAAAAAAGCAACCTGAGTATCAAACTCAAGGGCCTGATACGCAGGCTAAGAAAACAGCTGTACCTCTCACATGTATAGCATTGTTTTTCCCAATGTGAAAAAAATATTGCATATATATTTCTAGTATTTGTAAAATGTACACAGTTATTTTCTGCAATTGCCCAATAAACCTCTCATTTTCATGTCAAGTTTTACTGGTTGCGAGGTATCTCATAGATACCTTCCCATTGTTTGAGGTGTTCTTTTGCCCAAGTGAAAAAGTCCCTATAGTCAATGTCGATAATGTTGCTTTTGAAGTTTTTGAATGAATTGTAGCCCTCTCTCCCTTGTGTGTATGTAAATACTGTCGCGTTCCTGCACCTCAGTTGACTCGTGGAGCCAAAAACGACACAGAGTTTGCATGTGTCAACCACACTCGCACGTCTGGCTACATGTTTTAAATGATTTTATTCGTACAAATGCGGTGAAAACTACAAAAAAATACACATAGACTAAATACGCTTAAACCTAACTGAAATACACCAAAATATCAAGGTAACTTACGTCTATAGGCTTCTATAAATGTAAAAACTCTGGCTAAACTATGTATCGAAAAATCGATATAGAAAAAACGTTCTTGTTACGTTCTCTTGTTGCTAAGCAACAAAAACGTGAGCTGTCCTGGACTCCAGTTTCTTAAAAATATATAAGATAAAGTATCGAAAAGTATTACTGTATAACTTTAAATGTCAATGACTCAACACTCCTCGCCCAAGAATTAGTAATTCTTGAATCACTGTTCACTCGGAGCCGATATAAGTAGAATCAGTTCGCTAATCGGATGGAATACAGTCCTTCTTGCTTCCTTCTTTGGAGATCACAACTTTCGCCTTCCTCACTTCGCCATCTTCACTTTTGATGCTCTCCATAACTCTGCCCATCGACCAATCATTGCGATGTAGATCCCTGTCTTTCACTAACACCACGTCTCCATCGACCAGATTCTTCTCTCTCTCCTGCCACTTGGGTCTTGACTGAAGGTTTTGTAAATACTCCCTCTTCCAACGCAACCAAAATTGGTCGGCAAGATATTGGACTCTTCTCCAGCGCTTTCTAGCATACAAATCTTCCCTGACAAACACGTCTGGTGTTGCAAGAAGTGGCTTCTGTTTCATGGTAAGAAGCATTGATGGTGATAAGGGAACCGGTTCATCAATGTCGGCTGACACTGTGGCGATTGGACGACTGTTTACAGTAGCTGTAACTTCAGCCATCAACGTAAGAAGCAACTCGTCGTCGAATTGAGCAGCTCCGATCTTTAAGAGCATTGCGTCTAACACTCTACGAATTGTGCCTATTTGTTGTTCCCACACACCGCCGAAATGTGAGGCGTGTGGGGGATTGAATTTCCATTCGCACCCTTGCTCTGCAACGTAATTCTTCACTTTCTCTGCATCCATTTCGTTGAGTGCGCTGTCGAGTTCGGACTTTGCCCCCACGAAATTTGTACCGCAATCGCATCTTAAAATGGCGGCCGGACCACGAATAGCAAAGAAGCGTCATAACGCACAAATAAAGGAATTCGCGTCCATTGAGTGGAGTATCTCGATGTGGATTCCTCTGCTACTGAGACAGGTAAACACTAAGCCCCATCGTTTGGCATTTGTATCTCTTCCTCTGAGTTTCCTGACTTGAATCTGCCATGGACCAAAAACGTCCAAACCAACATTGGTAAAAGGTGGATGGGTCTCCATTCGATCGACAGGAAGGTCGGCCATGTGTTGCATGAGTGTCCGTCCTCTAAGCTTTTTGCAAGTGACACATACGTTGACCATTCTTGATACTTCTTTGTGACCATTGATGACCCAGAAACCAGCTTGACGGACTGCTCCATGTGTGATTTGTCGCCCTTGATGGTGGATAACTTTTTCGTGGTAGTGACGGATTATGAGCTGCGACACATGATGCTTCTTTGGCAGCAGGATTGGATGTTTCTCTTCGAAGGTTAGACTCGATCGATTAAGACGTCCACCGACTCGGAGAACCCCATCCTGATCTAGGAACGGATCTAATCCTGCGGGATTAGACTTACGGAGTGCCCTTCGTTGTTCTTTCAGTTGATCACAACAATCCGTCTCCTTGTTTTCTCTTTTTAGCACACTGATGTCATGTGCGAATACTTCGTTTTGCACCGCTTTTATGATTGCTATTTTTGCACTTTTGTTAGAATCTTTCGATGTCGGGTGTCGGTGTTCATTCTCAACATTTTGGCCATCATCAAGGCTTCGTACGTCTTTGTTTGTTTTCTGGTTTCTTATCTTGGCGATGAGACAGGATACCGCGCGCTGAAGTTTTAGCCAATCCGAGAAGCCAACCCGTTTCTCGTGTTGAGCTGGTCACATACGCGTTGACTTTAACCTCGGGATCGTTTTCGTTAATAGTGATGTCGTCTATTATTGGCGACGCTGCCTCGTCAATAGATGGTTCATTCGATTGGTTCATCTTCAGAAATGTTGGACCCTCGAGCCAGTCGGATTCTATCAGGCCCTTAGCCGTTGTGCCACGAGTTGCTAAGTCTGCCGGGTTTGTAGAAGTGTCAACGTAGTTCCATTGGTGAGGCCCGGATGTATCTCTGATTACCTGGACTCGGTTGGCGACATATACATGGAATCTACGTGCATCGTTGCTGATGTATCCTAGGACGACTTTGGAGTCTGTATAGAACTTAACATCGTCTATCTTTAAATCAAGTTCCGTCTGTATCTTCTTCACAGCCTTCGTAGATAACACAGCTCGAGGCGAGGAATGCTTGTCGGTCGGATTGGTGCAACTTTTGCTTGACCAAATACCAAACTAACACTCACTTCGCCCTTCTGGCTGAGTTGCTTCAGATACGCTGCTACTCCAACAGCTTCTTTACTTGCATCAGAAAATGCATGGATTTCGTTTCGTACTACGGCACCAAAGTTTTTAGGGTGATAGCATCGGTTGGCAGATACGTTCTCCAAGCCTGTGAGTTGGTTCTTCCAGCGATTCCACTGGTGGTTCAAATCTGAAGGGAGAGGATCGTCCCATTTAAGAGGTTGGTTGTTCGCTTTTTCTTTTCCGAGAATGAGCAGCTTCTGCAGTAGTAGTTTGCCGACGAGTATGACTGGAGCCGCTAATCCTAGGGGATCGTACAGTGAGTTCACTATAGACAAAACTCCTCTACGTGTTAGTGGTTTCTCGGGAATTGATACGTTAAATGTCAACTGATCGTTCTCTAAATTCCATTGGACTCCTAGGGCACGTTGTATTGGTAGAACGTCTTGACGGAGATCAAGGTCTTTCATTTCTTTCGCACAGTCTTCCGGAGGAAAGGCTCCCATCACCAACGCTGAGTTCGACGCCACTTTATGAAGATGTAGATTGGCTGTTTTTAGACACGCTTGTGCTTTCTGTACCAGGTCGACTACTTCTTCTTCCGTCGACGAGGACGTCAATCCATCATCCACATAGAAATCTTTGCATATAAACTCTTTCACCTTTGACCCATAATCCTCCTCGCCGTCTTCGGCTGTTTTTCTCATTCCGAAAGTTGCTATTGCCGGGCTTGGGACCATTACCAAAGAGATGGACAGTCATTCGATAGTCTACTATCTCTTGTCTTGGGTTGTTGTTCTTGAACCAGAGAAACCGAAGATAGTTTCTGTGTTCCGAGTTGACATGGAATGAGTAGAACATCTGCTCTATGTCACACATGACTCCATGATTTTCTTGACGGAACCGCATCAAAACACCGATTAGGTTGTTCATTAGATCTGGTCCTGCTAACAATTCCTTGTTGAGGGAGACACCTTCGAATTCACACGAGGAATCGA